GGCTATTATTTTTTATTCTACTAGAATATAAAATAAAAAAATACGTTGGAGATGGTCTTAGATAATATTTGTCTCATAATGAATATAGATTTAATTATTTTTTTATAAATAAAAATCTATAACTGCGAGAGATTTGATAAACGCTATCATATGCATATCAGTGCGATAGATATATTCTAATATTTTAAACATTTGTAAAAAAGAATCATGCATGTTCTAATACTTTAAAGTTTAAACATGTGTAGAAAAGAATCATGATAATCAAACAGATAGAGTAGTGTAAGTATAACAAAACCAGATTAGAAGAGTCATGAAATAATTGTAATTAAAGATACACAGATAGAAAGCAAATTGGTGAAATAAACCCTACCACTACCACTTGTTCATTACACATTGTACATAACTGTTGAATCAAATCAATTTGATTTGGTAACCAATACGAAGATGATCATGACCATTCATCTCTCTATATTTTTATTTCTTTTATTTTTTATATTGATGCCCTTTTTGTAGGACCATGATGGATACATGATAATACTGTATATGTGACCATAAAGACAGTTAATCACTCCTAGTGTAAAATAGAATACTTGTCCATATGACACCACTTAATGTTTTCATTTATGATTATATGTTATAGAACTTGTCGTCGTGACAAGCAACAATGTAACAATTGTTTCCATATTTATGGTTGATGATTTGCATCTAAAAACAGGTTATGATTCGAGCTTTTCAATGCTATTTTGATCATAGTTAATCATTGTAGTTGTTTTAAATGGCAAAAACATCAGACTTTTTTCATAGAACTTGGAGATTAAGCTATGTTTCGATTGCGATTTCTTATATAAAAACAAGAAATTATATCATTTATAAATGCTCATATATGGCTTGCAAAGCTGGAAACTTGGCGGGTTCGGCGGATCCTGTCCATCAAAGCTCACCACACAAAGTAAAATTTAAGAATCTTTCTTAGGGTTGTCTGTATATATATAGGTAGGGAGCATCCTAAGCTTTTTCTTTTGTTCCTATCCTCTTCCAATTTACACCTATTTTCTTCAAAGATGAAAAAAAACACATTTCTTTAATAAGTTAGAATGTCATTTTGACTTAAAATATTGGAAAGATATATATATATTTTCGGAGTGGATCCGAACAGATAACGGATCGGATCTCGGATCCCGGATAATAATTACACTCCTATAGGTATCTCTTTGTTCCAAAGAAAGAATATTGGAAGATAATGACTAAAACATATGTATATATATTATTCTTTCTTTGGAACAAAAAGATACCTATAGGGGTATAATTATTATCTGAGATCCGATCCGTTATCCGTTCGGATCTACTCCGAAAATTAGGATATTCGGGGAATTCGGATCCGGATAAAGACAGTAAAATTTAGGATCCGTGAAAAGAGGATCCGGATCCGGTTAACAAAATTTTAAGGTTCGGATATCCGGATCCGGACGCATTAAATATATTAAAACCATATATATTTTTTATATATTAAGCTATTTTTATATAAATATACATATAAATTGATTTTAGTTCTTTTTGTAATATATTATATTTATGATGAAAAATATCATTCAAAATT